GTGACAGTTTTACTTCTTCCTTTCCAATTTGGATCCCTTTTATTTCTTTTTCTTGCCTGATTGCTCTGGCTAGGACTTCCAGCACTAAGTTAAATAGGAGTGGTGAGAGTGGGCATCCTTGTCTGGTTCCTGTTCTTAGAGGGATAGCTTTCAGTTTTTCTCCATTGAGGATGATATTAGCTGTGGGCCCAGCATACTCTTGATTTAAATGAGACCCAGATTCTCAAACTCTTCATTTAAATAAGAAATCCAACTCTATCATGGGTTCTTGGGGAGTATTTCTTGGGTGGGAGAAGTATTGTTTTTTCTCTTTTTAATCCACACATCTGTGGGAAAAGAGGGAAAATGCTAAGGATATACTTCTGATTTAACAAAGAAAATTCAAAAGCATGTCTTTCTTCCAGAAAAGAATGTCAATTCAAGTATTGTTACAAGAGGAACGCAATGAGTAAGATGACTCATCAGAATTGAAGATGTAAGAGGTTAAGAATCACAATCATAGAACATGGTGATAATGTCGAAGTCTGAGTGTCTTAAAGTTTGTTAAGTTTCCTGGAGTTAGAAATAAAATTTGCAAGACCAATTCATGGTGTGGAACGGAATCTGCCCTCCTACAGCTGCTTATTCTGTTGGGATTCTCCCTGTTATCCTGCTCAGAGCTCGTTCTCCAGGAGGAAGAAGGGCCCACAGGTTCATGCCAAGTGCTGGAATCCCATGAGCTGTCATTGAGGGAGAAAAGTCTGAGAACCTGGGAATTTACCCTATGGACCAGAAAAGTGCAGAGGGGGATAATTCACAAGTGGTATACAGGGCCTTCAGTGTAGAGGCTTCAGTACTAACAGGAAAAGATCTTCAAGACCTAGTGATCAGCAGAAAAAAACTGTGATATCAATATGTATGGACATATATGAACATGCAAATGCATAGAAAGGTAACTAGAAAGAGTTACAACAAAATATCGACAACAATTACCTTTGAGAGGGGAAAAGGATACCAGGACCAGCCATACAGTGAGTTCCTCTTCTCCTCCATACTCTCTGTATTACTTAATCCTTGATGAGAATGTATTTGTTGTGCCAATAAAAAAATCCCAAGTAATTAAATACACAGGTTTAAAGATCCAAGGAAAAAAGAGAATTGAAAAATTACCTGGCCTATTTGACCGTAGGGAAATTCTGTGGAGAGCAGTTACAGAGTTTTTCAGGAGAGTTTGAGAACAATTAATGAAGGGACACATAGATAACTGAGAAAATCAAACAAACAGAAGAGGAAGCAGGAGGAGGAAGATGAGGAGGAGCAGGAGGAGGAGGGAGAGGAGGGGCAGAAGTGGAGGAGAAGGAGGCGGAGGAGAAGGGAGAATAAAAAGGAAGAAAAAATCTGAAGGAGTACAGGCAGATGGGTTGCTTGGCTGTTGAGTTCTAAAATTAGTTCGGAAAGAGTATGCAGTCATCATCAACTACCAGGCCCAGTAATGGAGCATGCTTACACAGGCGTAATGAAATGTAGACCCTATACATTGAGTTAAAAATTGTGATCTCATTCTGTGGTTAGTAGTGGGGAGAGATAAGAGTAAGAGTGTTAATTACTATGTTTCACTATAGTAATTCAATTGATGATGTTTCAAGATACAAGAATATAAATTTTTGTTTTGTTTTATATTTACATGGTGGTAAATACCAGAGGAATGCCTGAGAGTGGAATGCAGGGCGAGGGGAGTCAGGGAGCTGAGACGGAGAAGACTGGTTGGCTTTCCCAGTCTTGTAGCATGATGTGACTTTTTTGGCTCTGGCTGTTTGTGTTGATGTGGGCCATCCTGACTCGACATGGCTTTGCAGCTGAATGTGACAGGCCCAGCTTGGGCTGGCCTGAGGAGGGACAGGGATGGCTGACCTTCTAGACCCACTAATGCAGCAGACAACCAGGCATAATCCCCCTCCACACTCATAATATGGAGCTTTGTCCTGCAAACCCATGTAATCTGTGTAGATACCCAGGACCATGGAGGGGACAGACAGTGTCACACAGCTAAGATTAAGGTTAATCATGGCCTAGGACCTTTGCTGTGTCCTTCACTCATTATTTCCTATAAACCTTCCCAACAAGATGGCTCTTTCCATTGGGTATGAATTTCAAGCTGTAACTCCAGATGTCTAACAAATGTAACTCTATTTTCCTGCATCTGCACTGGTTAGGGTGGATTGAGTTGTGGAAATAGATAGGCCAGACATGTCATGGCATAACACAATAGTTTATTTTCTGCTCAACCATGGGAGGCAGCTGGGGAAAGGGTGACTGTTCCTAGAAAGGTTCAGGGAATGAGGCTGATGGGAGCTCTTTCATCTCTATGCCATGTGGCCTTCAAATCACCATGGGTATCACTTGCCTAGTCAGCTAGGGGAGGGAGGGTATGGAGGAGTGCCTGTGGGATGTGTGTTTAATGGCCAGGGTTCTTTGTGGTACACATCACTTCCAGTCACATTCCATAGAGCCAAAAAGAGTCTCATGGCCACACAGGGGAACTTAGGAAATGTGGCTGACAAGTGCTCCCAAGAAGAAAAGGAGAGGAGCTTTGGTAAAAGGTTAGCAGTCTTTTCCACAGCTACTCAACTTAATTTCTGCTGATAATCCCCTTTCTCCTCAGTTTTGGAAACTTACTTCTGCTAAGTCTAGGGTTTCTAGGTCTGAATTTGGGGTTGTCTATGAAGCTAGGGCACAGAAGGACCCTTTGGGTATTTGTTGTCCATGGTATCAGCCTAGATCTCTGTTTTCATTCATCCTGATGGCTCCTGTGTTATCCCTGGCTCCCCTCTGATAGTCACTTTCACCTTGGCACTTGGCATTCCTGTATCCCCCCACTTCCTCCTCCCCAAGCTGGGGCATGGGATATCCTACTTGGCTGTCTGAGGCCATTTCTTCCTAGACCCCCACACCATGCAGCATATTCTCATTGAGATCTTGGAGCCTCTATAAGATTTATCTGTGAAGAGGGTATACAGGTAATCTCTGGGGTCTTTGACACCCTGCTTTTTCCTGAGATACAGGCTACAAGGACCTCCTTACAGATATACTGGCATCTAATCTCTCTCTACTTCCCCTATTCCATGAATAGAGGACCATTTACCTTTCAGGAACGGGGGAGAGGTGATCCTCATCAGCTCTTCTGCCAAATCTATTGCTCATTTCTAAGGTTTTTCCATTCTTTCCCTGAGAATTTGACTTCAGGATCTCAAAAGCTGGAAGAGTTGTCTATTTTCCTCTCCCTGCTCTGAGACACTAGAAGCCTAGAATTCTAGCTTGAATGAGGAAAGACCTAGAGAATATTGATTCAAATTTCTAAATATCACCCCACATTGGCAATTATTATGCCCATTTTACAGACAAGGGAACCAGGCTCAAGAAAATTATCTTGTTCAAAGGCATACGGTTTTTAAGTGTCAGAGGTGGGTTGAAAACCCACATCTGCCTGATTTCCATGTCCCTGGGCTTCACCATTAGGACATTCTGATTTTGACATGGTCTGGGGAACATGTAGCCCTAGGTAAACACAGACACTGACTCAGAAACACACACACACACACGTGAAAAGCCGGGGCATTCCCTTCAATTTTATTGGTTTAAATAAATATTTTTCTGAAAAAGCAGCCCAGTATCAAGGAGTTAAGGGCATCTGTGGCATGAAAGTGAGGACCTCCAAGGTGGATGAAGACAGCTCTGGAGGCCAAGAGGATGAAGTAGTATGATGTTCCTGGGCTATTGGGTTGTTGGATGTCGAGTTCCTCGGCTGGTGGGTTTCCCGGCTAGTGGATGTCTCAGCTGTTGGATTCTTGCATGGTGGCTGATTTGGCTGGTTAGTGTCTTGGTGGGTTGGTCCTGTTGCGGGGTGGACCTGTGGACTACTGGGGCTGGCCTTCATACCCATAGGACAAAGTAATAAATGATGCCTAAACCGATGAGTATGGCAAACACATCCAGCCAACCAGTTCTGCCTGAGTTGATGTAAGCCTCTTCCCACTCGCTCTTCTCGTTGGCCTTCGAGGTCTGTAGGGATGGGAACTTTAGATGTGGGTTTCTGAGTCCAGCCATGTGACACCCTTGGGGAATGGCTGGAGACCTATGGTCACTGAGGGAAAACCCCTACCCAGGTCCCAGGACAGGAGCAGATGCAAGGGGCAGGTAGAGGACAGGATGGGCCATGGCTTATGCATTGTTTTACCTGGTAAGAGAAGTACATAGCTAGTAATCCGAAGGGAGGGAAAAGAATTACAGCCAGGACGGTCAAACACACGTAATTTGGGGCGTAAAATGCCAGTTCTTCAGGTGTCTGTATAGGCTCTTCAGGCTGTTTAGGCTGCTCAGGTGCGGCGCCTGGAGCAGGTGGGGCGCCTGGAGCAGGCGGGGCCCCTGGAGCAGGTGGGGCGCCTGGAGGAGGTGGGGCCCCTGGAGCAGGCGGGGCGCCTGGAGGAGGTGGGGCCCCTGGAGCTGGTGGGGCGCCTGGGGCAGGTGGGGCGCCTGCGGCAGGTGGGGCGCCTGCGGCAGTAGCTGGGGCAGCTTTCGGGGCAGCTTTCGGGGCCATGATCTTTCCAGCCAAAAACAGAGAGCCAAATTCACTACGCCTCCCCTTGTTCTAACCAGAATCCCAAGACCCAAACCGTCGAAGGCCAGTTCTTCACAATGGAGACACCTGCACCTCAAGTCCTGATTGGCTGCCTGCATAAGGGGGCGTGGTCGGGCGGTTCTCTGCTCCCCCAGGACTCCAGGCTCCACCCTCCGTCAGGACGTGGACTCTGCCCAGCCTTCCCATTGGTTGGAAGCCATAGGGTTCCTCCTCCTTGCTGAAGACCTCTATCTGCAGACAGCGCCGGAGGGCAGTACCAGGGACGCCTCCCCAGAGCAGCGGGAGAGGGGAAGTAGACAAGCCTAGCAGGAAGACTAGGAAATTTACAATCAGAAGGGAAGGAAAATGAATAATGTCAGTAATAGATTATAAAATATTGAATTAAAAAAGGATTCTTTAGTCCATACTGACAGAAAGAAAGAAAAAAAGGAGAAATGGTGAAAAAGGGGAAGGTCTTTCTTAAATTAGAATGCCATCTAATAAATGTGGCTGGAATGATGGAAATGGGAAATCATCATTGTAGTAGGCAGAATTCTAAGATGGCCCCAAGATTCCTGCTCCCTGGTGTACACACACCTTCTCCTAGTTATTCATTCAAGAACGAATCTATGTGCTGCTAAAGGGATTTTGCAGATGTAGTTAAGGTCCGCAATCAGTTAACTTGAAGATAGGGAGAATATCCTCAATGGGCCTAAACCAAACAGGTGAGTACTTAAAAGGGGCTGGGTCTTACTGGCAAAAAAGATTCAAGGCATGAGATGGATTGGAGGCAAGAGAGATTCTCCATTGCTGGCTTGAAGCTGTAGGGGGCCACGTGGCAAGGAATGCAGGCAGCCTCTAGCTGAAAGTAACTCCCAGGTGACAGCCAGCAAGGAAATGGGGACTTTAGTTCTACAACGGTAAGGATCTGAATCCTGTCATAACCAAATTCATTTGGAAGAAGATCCTAGCTCCAAATGAGAACACTCGCCAACACCTTAATTTTAGCTTTGTGAGATCCTGGGCAGAGAACCCAGCCATTCTGACCTACAGAACTGTGAGTTAATCACTGAGTTTCTGGGAATTTGTTATGCATCGTTAGAAAACTAATAACCATTTCAAACACCATAGTAATTACTGATTCAGGGAAGAACCATCAATGGATGCTAATACCACTAGGTTTTAGTTGAGTTCCCTCAGCTTGTGGTTTTAGGGGAATGGAGGGTGTGAGGAGCCAATTTGCAGGGGGAATTGTAAGTGGATAGGAAGTGACACAGTGAAGTCCACAAATATATACTCCAACATGGTTTGTCAAAGACACAACTGTATTTTTTTATTTTTATTTTTTATATTATTGAGGTCATATTGGTTTATAGCATTGTGTAATTTCAGGTGTACATTATTATATATCAGTTTCTGTATCGACTGCATCCTGCTCACCAGCAATAATCTAGTTTTTATCCATCATCATACATATGTGCCCCTTTACTCCTTATGCCCACCCCCAACCCCCTTCCCCTTTGGTACCCACTAATCTGTTCTTTGTCCATGTGTTTATCTTCCACATGTGAGTGAAATCATGCAGTGTTTGTCTTTCTCTGTCTGGCTTATTTCTCTTAACATAATACCTTCAAGGTCCATCCATGTGGTCGCTAATGGGATGATTTTGTCTTTTTTATGGCTGAGTAGTATTCCATTGTATATATATATACTACATTTTCTTTATCTGTTCATCAGTTTGTGGGCACTAGGGTTGCTTCCACTTCTTGACTATAGTGAATAAGGCTGCAATGAACATAGGGGTGTGTAAATCTCTTTGTATTGTTGATTTCATTTTCTTTGGATAAATACCAAGTAGTGGGATAGCTGGATTGTATGGTATTTCTATTTTCAATTTTTTGAGAAATCCCCATACCGTTTTCCATAGTGGTTGCATGCCCAGTTTGCATTCCCACCAGCACTGTATGAGGGTTCTCTTTTCTCCACGTCCTCTCTAACATTTGTTATTTTTTATCTTGGTGCTTATAGCCATACTGATGGTGTAAGGTGATATCTCATTGTAGTTTTGATTTGCATTTCTCTAATAATTAGTGATGTTGTACATCTTTTTATGTGCCTGTTGGCCATCTGTATATCTTCTTTGGAAAAATGTCTGTTCATATCCTCTGCCCATTTTTTGATCGGGCTGTTTATTTTTTGCTGTTGAGTTGTATGAGTTCTTTATATATTTTGGAAATTAACCCCTTGCCAGATATATGATTTGCAAATATTGTCCCCCAGTTGGTGGGTGGTCTTTTCATTTTGTTCATGGTTTCCTTTGCCTTGCAGAAGCTGTGTAGTCTGATGTAGTCCCATTTGTTTATTTTTTCTTTTGTTTCCCTTGCCTGATTAGACATGGTATTCGAAAGGGTGCTGCTAAGACCGATGTCAAAGAGTGTACTGCCTGTATTTTCTTCTAGGAGTTTTATGGTTTCAGTCTTACCTTCAAGTCTTTAATCCATTTTGAGTTAATTTTTGTGTGTGGTATAAGATAATGGTCTACTTTCATTCTTTTGCATGTGGCTGTCCAGTTTTCCCAGCACCACTTATTGAAGAGACTTTCCTTTCTCCATTGTATGTTCTTAGCTCCTTTGTCAAAGATTAGCTGTCCATAGATGTGTGGTTTTATTTCTGGGCTCTCAATTCTGTTCCATTGATCTGTGTGTCTGTTTTTGTGCCAGTACTATGCTGTTTTGATTATTGTAGCTTTGTAGTATATTTTGAAGTCAGGAATTGTGTTACCTCCAGCTTTGTTCTTTTTTCTCAGGATTGCTTTGGCTATTTGGGGTCTTTTGTTGTTCCATATAAATTTTAGGATTCTTTGTTCTATTTCTGTGAAGAATGTGATTGGGAGTCTGATTGGGATTGCATTGAATCTTTAGATTACTTTAGGTAATATGGACATTTTAACTATGTTTATTCTTCCAATCCATGAACATGTAATATCTTTCCATTTCTTTATGTCTTCTTTGATTTCTTTCAATAATGTCTTATAGTTTTCAGTGTATAGGTCTTTCACCTCTGTGGTTAAATTTATTCATAGATATTTTATTCTTTTCATTGTGATTGTAAATGGGATTGTATTCTTGACTTCTCTTTCTGCTAGTTTGTTATTAGTGTATAGAAATGCAACTGATTTTTGTGAGTTGATTTTGTACCCTGCAACTTTGCTGTAGTTGTTGATTATTTCTAATAATTTTCTGGTGGATTCTTTCGGATTTTCTATATATAGAATCATGTCATCTATAAACAGTGAGAGTTTTACTTCTTCCTTTCCAATTTGGATACCTTTTATTTCTTTTTTTTTTGTGAGGAAGATTAGCCTTGAGCTAACATTTGTGCGCATCATCCTCTATTTTATATGTGGGAGGCCTGCCACAGCCTGGCTTGATGAGCAGTGCATAGGTCCGTGCCTGGGATCCGAACCTTCAAACCCGAGGCCACCAAAGCAGAGCGTGAGAACTTATTCACTACACCACTGGGCCTAATGTTTATTTTTCTTGCCTAATTACTCTGGCCAAAACCTCCAGTACTACGTTGACTAGGAGTGGTGTGAGTGAGCACCGTTAAAGACACAACTGTAGTTAAGAACAGTCAAGGACCTAGAAGCAGCAACAAGAACAGCAGCAACACACACAATCCAGAAGTCAGGAAATTCTTCACGGAATGTGTTGGGAAAAGCAGTCTCATGCACGCAATCTTTCAACCTCTGTTTGCCACATAAGAATGGGTCTTGGGCCTGGAACACTTCCTGACCAAGAGATAAAGAGCTCACACAGCCTGTGCCAGGCTTATACCTTGTGTGGGAATATGTTTCCCTGTTTCAGACTCAATGTGTGTTTGTTTGTTCTTCTTAAGCTTGTGTGACAATAGTTCTCAGGCACACCTCCAGCTTTTAATATTTCAGGCTCCGGATATTTAATATTTCAGGAAGGGACCAGGGTCCTTCTGCCATGGTGCAAGAGGAATGCGTTTGGCCAATTGCACCCACCCATGGGGGACAGATGCCCACTATTGGAGCTGATCTTGCTGTCTCTTCTCTATGTGAGTAAAAGTGTTGTTCCATCCAGTGCTTGACTGTGTTCTGTTTTCCTTGGCGACTCCTATGCCAAGACACAGTGAGCGGACGTGTTTGGACTTCTATTCCTGGTGGTTGGCATTGTGATGATCTTTCTATCCTCCATGTAGCTGGAGTCCTCTCCTGGCGTTGGTAACCAGTGCATGGTGTTCTGCTCGACAGAATGAATTGGCTCAGGGCATTTCAAGGGCAAAGTGGATATTCCAGAGCAAAAAGTATGAGGCTAGGGGGGATAGAACTCAAGGTTGGGTGGGATGAAGAATGCAGATTGGTTTCTGGCAGGTCATTTGGATGGTGGGAGCCTTGGATAGAGGGGGATCCTCTTGGCTAGTGAGTCTCTTGTCTGAGGTGGCTTTGGGGTGGTAACTTGTCTGGGCTCTGTGTCCCTGGGCTCATGTATCCCTTGTGAGATGAATCCTTTGACTGGAATGACCCTTAGTTTGTGTGTCCATTGGCTGGAGGGCCGCCTAACCAACAAGAGACTGAATGTTCTACATTTATGTGCAGTATAATGGGAGGCAAACTCAGGAAAAGTATTTGACATGGATATTTCCTTGCTGTGTGACAGTTTGCTTCCCAGTTGGCTTTCTTGATCTATGGGGGGTGGGGGGTGGTGGTGGAAGGAATGTGTGGTTTTATAGAATGAATTGAGGGAATTATTCAGGATCTACAGGAAGGTGACAGAGCCAGAATATCTTTCACCTCCAGTGTCAGTTCTGGGCAGAAGTAGATGCAGGAGTGGGGAAGGGGTTGTATACACTGGAGGTTAGGTCCTGGGCAGTGAAGACAGTGCCCGATCTTCGGAGTATAGACAGCAGCTTCCCTAAGG